GTCCTTTCAGTGTGCTGAAAAGTGGCTATGTACCAAAGAACAGGGGTAAGTGACAGTGGTTGAGGTCTTCAGGAGATCTGAAGAGCAGACTGCATGTTAGGCCAAGTTTAGTGGTAAGCTTTAAAGAGAGTAAGTGATTTGTAACATATTTAGACTATGGTAATTCTGAGCATAGAAATAAACTCACCTGTCCAAACTCAAAGAATGGACTTAGAGACCTAGAGAACAGCAAAAGTGAGACTTTTAATAATAGTCTTGCAAGATTGGGTGTCTGATGAGCAGGCACACCCAGCACAGTTTTAACAAGCAATTTATCCCCTAGTGCACAGGACATAGGCTGAGTACTACTGGGTCACAATTTTCCTGGACATCGCCTATGAATTGTTGGGTAGGGGCTTTCGGTGTTCTTTTTAGGATTGTCTTGCTGTATTTTATTGCAGACCACAATGCATTGCAATCCTAGTTAGCTCAGGGGCTCTTCAAGTATTTTACTTACGACCTAAGTAGCTGGGCAGGCTGATAAGAACAGACAAAACAAGCTATTTTGCAGGCTAGTAAACTTTTATCTTAAACTTCTTTGGTTCAGGTGAGGGCAATAAAGCCAGGGTGAGGAAGTGGGGCAGTGGGAGGCCGACAAGCAAACATCAGCTATCCAAGCAGGGCCTAGTACATCCTGTTTCTTCTGTAGTTTGCTGACCTAACCTGATTTAGGGCACTTTGTCTTAGAAATGGACCACTGTATACATTAGTTCCTTCATGAGGAAGGTGGGAAAATACAGGAACTAATCTTGCAAATTTTATTAACTATGAAAATTATAGCAAAAGTTTACAAAGGTTTTTTCTGGGGGGTCATTTTCCACTTCTCTTTAAAAAACAGATCTTCCTGCATACTGTACCATGCTGTAAAAATAAAATAGATGTAGTCTTGGTAAATTTAATGGCTTTAAAGATTGTGGCAAAGTTTAGTACTTGAAGTGAATTAAATGAGATAACTAAAATATATACAGCTATATCTTGTGCTGTGAAAGCAAAAGAGGCCAATTCCTTTTGTATATACTTATGAAAAGTCACATGCTAAAACTGTTGGAAAGTGAATTTTATTAAAATCAAAGTGAATATGGAAAACTAAAATGTATCCAGAAGATACATTAAATTGTGATGTTTCATTTTATAAGTGAGTGCAACTAGCATTCTTTTAAATTATAGGTTCTTCAGGTGATTTCAGATATAATAGGGCCCCCTGGCACTAGCTCATCTAAGTCATTCATAGGTTATTTTAGTATTCCCTGGGATGCAAATGGCTTACAGTCACAAGATATAATTTGCCTCAGAGGGCCAGGCATTCTTATCAACTCGCTTTTTATTGTAGCTTCTATTACTTATCCATATTCTTTTACCCTTTTTAGTCTGAGAACCTTTTCCTTTACTGAAATGATAGAGGCGAAACAAAGGTGAATGGATTTTCAGTCTCTCTCTCTTCTGTTAATTTATACCACAGAATCCAAACTAATTTAATTCCTCCTTTTTGTTTTCTTGGACCTAACTTTTTTTTTTTTTTTCACCCTTAGGGTTTTCCCCAACTTCAGCTCATTGTAGCTATCTATTTTCTGTAAATCAATGACTTAACTAATTAAAAATGGAAATCTATTTTTTTCATCTAGTCAGCTATTACCATTCTCCATGGCACTAAATAATCTATACAGAACATAATTCCAATTTAAAATTTTTGATGTGAAAGAAATTAATAATTCACACTTATTTTGGAAAATTTCAAACCTAGAGAAAAAAACATAATATACATGTGGACCCTCCATCTGATTCACCCATTTTTAATATTTTGCCATATTTACCTCCTTTTGCTCTTATCTACATACATGTATATATATATATGTTACATATCTATTTCTCTGAATCATTTGCAAATAACTTGTAGACCCAATTATTCTATATCCGTGTTTTTGACATAAAATTCCAAATTTAAGGACAATACCATTATCACATTTAAGAAAACCTTAATTCCATTATATTATCCAATATCCAGTCCAGATTCAAATTTCTGCAACTGGCCACCAGTAACTGTCTTTTCACTTATTTTTTAGATTCAGGATTGCATTTTGTTTTCATGTCTCTTACATCTCTTAAATTTGAAAGACTTTTTTTTTTTTTT